GTTAGGGGAGGAGGCGCGGTCCGGGGAAGAGGGAAGAGGCGCGGTGCGGGGAAGTGCTTTTAGGCAGAACAATTGTGTTTTCGGTGTAGTAAGTGGCTTGTAAAGTAACAGGATCTTTACTTTGCATTTGCTCTGTTGCTCTTTTTTTCCTGAAATGTTCCGATTAGCAGCTATGACTTTGTTAGGTATTTTGGTTGTTTTTTAAATTTGTCTGCATTTTTCAGTTAAAAGATTATGCAGTGCCAAACAATTTCAAATATATATTTTAACTTTTCACAACTGACAGAATGACTGAAGTCAAGTTTTTTCCCCTAGATACCACGCATCCTGTTATTTCAGTGTGCCATAGCTGGTTGTGCTGGTAGTGTTGCTCTTGAAAGGGAAATTAGATTTGGACTGGAGTGATTTTAAAAGGATTAATACTGCACAGGGCCACGTCAGCATACCCTTTTAAGCCAACGGATGATCTGAGCCAACCTACAGTTTTTCCAAGTATTTCAACATTAACATAACAACGATGGTCCTGCACAGTTTAGTGATAGCTAATCACCCCGACATTTATCTCGTCAGCTTTTGAAGACCATAAAAATACATTAAATTAATCTGTGAGGATTTTTTTCAAATTTCTTATTGCTACCCACTACCTCTAGGATTTTTCATTTTTGTTATTGCTTGGGTTCATGTTTCTGTTTGTCAGCATTTGTTAATCCTGTGCCTGGGCAAAGTCTGAAAAGCATAGCTGTCTATCTTGTGTTATCTAGTCTTACATATGGTTAGAATTTGTAGTCTAATTAATACTTCATTCCAGCTCTTAAAAGGTCCTTAGTGTGATTTTGACAAACAACGAGCAGAAGAAATTCAAGATAGGATCAGAGGAGTGAAAAGATGTAATGCACCCATCAGGATATGACACGTCTTGTAGATTTCAAGAACCATAAGTGGGTTTGTGTTCTCATTTTATTTCTGCTTCACCCATCCTTGCAGACTCTTGCTGAAGTCATGAGCAATGCCAGAAACAAGCTGCTGTCCTCTAGCCTCTCTGTCACCAAACTCTTGTCACTGCAACCATGAAGTTGCACTAAATGACAGATGTTCTTTGGCCACCATGAAAGGATTGTTTTCTGCCCATGTTGACTCCTAACTGGTACACATGTTATAAATCGCAAAGGAGAATCTTTTCTTGAGACGACTACAGCATCCTTCCCTTCAGGTACAACCAAGAGGTCATTGCTGTGTTCAGAGACACGCATTTGCCCATCTGTAACCCACTGGGGAAAGTTATACAGCCAAGGAGATTTCAGAGTTAGCATGCATAAATTCACAGGGGGTATTTGGACATTATTTGCTTACAGGAAACTAAAGGTTCCAGAATGTATACGTATATAATGTGTCTTCTACTTAACCTGAAAGTTTGTGCCAACTCACACTGAGGTTATGAGGACGAAAGTGTCTGTGGGAAAACTTTTAACCTTCAACGTCACACAATCAGTTAACAAGCAGAGCCAGCGTTGCTGTCATGCTTTATGGGACAATTGTAATAAAGCCTACCGGCCCTGAGCTTAAGCAGTTTTAGAACTCTAGTTCAATGACAGTGACATGTTCGTGAAAATATTTATGAATGACAGGTCAGTGCTGTAACACGTCAGTCACAGTGCTCATCATACTTGTGTTTGAAAAGGCATAGAAGACTTGACATTCTGTCAGTTTGTGAGCTAAATGGATTGTGTGAGCTAAGCTCCTCATCTGATTTTACTATTACTAGTTTATAGATGATGGCAGTGTAAGAAAAGCTGAGTATTGATTTACTGGGTATGTACAGTGTAAGTATATTTATATATTTTCTTAATAAAAGTTATTAGCTTTATGGTATTGGAACACACCTGTAAATGGGAAAACGTGAACGGAAAGGAAACAAAAAAGGACCACAGTGAAAAAACAAAAAAGGCATAAATAACAGAGTATCTTGTCTT